TAACAAAAACAACAATTTGAAAGTTTCGTTCATAATATTAATCATGTTTACAAATTTAAAGAACTCCACTCTCTTCGGAGAATATAAGACAATTATAAATTCATTCCCTAGTAACTTCATGTATTTATCAATCATACTCTAATTTGCCTTAGTTTTGAGGGTTTTTTTTTGTAATTTTTTTTGTAATTTTCAACATTGTAAGTTGTCATATATACCCCTTTGATAAGATCTAACATGATAATTGAATTATTATTATTTTGAATTAGAAACAACTTATTTTATGGTTTGAGTTTATTTTAGAATCCAATTATTAATATTCCATAATTTACCACTGGACATGCGTTTTATTTCTTAAACAAGTGTGAAGATTTGCGATTCAACAAATGAAGAAACACAAGAAATAAAGATCATTACATCACTTGTCATTGGACACAAATTTAATTCCTTAAACAAGTGTGAAGGTTTGTCATGAAACAACATCGACACAAAATCAAATTAAATGAAAAAAGTAAAGAGAAAGATCGTGATATTTGAATTAGAAACAGAAAGATTAAATGAAGAAAGGAGAAAGTAAAAGAGAAAATATATATGGAAGATGGATGATGCCATCTATTCAAGATAAATGAAAAATAATTGTCACTTTAGATTCCTAAAAATCAAGATAAGATTCAAAAAATAAGAAATTACTAACACAAGTCTTTCTTTCTCAAATTCTAATTCTATATATATATATATACAATGATTTTATAAGAGAGGATATGATTATTTATAGTCTTTCATGCCCAAAAAATAAAATATAAATAAAATTCAAATGAAATAAAAGAGAGAAAATTTTAAATTCAAATGAAATAAAAGAGAGAAAAATTTAAATTCAAATTTGAATATAATATTGAATTAAAAACACTCTTGGTCATGTGATTAAGAAAAGGTGTGTTTCAAGCTTGATTCATGTCTTCCTTGTGTCGACCACACTCTCCTCATTTTGCTCCATGTATTCCTTTCTAAATGTGACTTATTTCAATTGCAATTGTAGCTCATTTGTGTTTCTTCTTGACCAAATTTGTTCCTCTCTTGATGGTACAAATAAAGGCCCAAAACAAGTCATAATTACAAAAGAAAACCTAGATTATAATTAAATTTTAATTACAAATGAATACAAAATAAATATATATTTTTTAAAACAAGAGTATTTTGTATTATTATGCTCCCTGACACTCTTCTTAGAATTGCATACTTTTATTCATTTTCTTCTTATCTAATCATGAACTCATTATCCTCCCATTCTTGGAGAGAAGTCATTCACAAATTTATAAAACCTGCATCAAAAAGAGTAAAATCACTCACATTAAATGTAAAACTCAAATTATAATTAAGGAGAAGATCTAACTAAAATGCATTATTATTCATTTTTTTTATTATTAATCTCCTATAGGTTGAAGTTTGGTATTTGAGATAAAAAGTTTGGCTCTAAATTTTCTCATAATGACTTCTAAAAGTGACCTAAAAACTTTAAATCTCTAAAAGATATAATACTTTTTGAAATCTCATGTATCTAACAACTTCCTTAAAGAGGAGATTTATAATACAACATGCATCATCAACATTGTGACATGAAATTAAATGAGTCATTCTATACAAAAAAATATACTATCACAAAGATTGCATCATGTCCTTTACTTGAATTTAGAAGTCCTAAAACAAAGTTCATTAAGATATCCATTCAAGGTAAGTTAGAAATTGGAAGAGAAATATAAAGTCCATAGAGTTGTGCCTTAGACTTGACCTTTCTACAAGTAATACATTTTTTTAAAAGTGAACATGTTTTCTCATATCCGACCAAAATAAATGTTCATGCAAAACTTTGAAGGTCTTAAACTCCCCAAAGTATCACATTAAAGCACCCTCATATGCTTTCCTAACAAGTGTTTCTCAAGGTACACAGTTTTTTGTTTCAAAATAAGTATCCATTTTGTATGAAAAAGCCTTTGTGTGATCCATTTAAACAATATTATTTTGATACAACTCTCTTATATGATTAAATCCAATAAATTTTGTTTCAAGAGTATTAAGCAAGATATGTCTCCTTTAAGGAACATCAATTACCACAATTGTTTTTTTTTGCTCATGTTTGATCATATAAGGGAATTATTCAATAAACTCAACATTCTCTTATTAAGCTTATATTGACCATTCAAATATTTAAGGAATCATGATTACTATGAATCACAAATTCCTTTTGTAAAGTATAGTGTTGTCAATTTTTGAAAGTCGTGATAATAACATAAAGTTCTTTATTGTAAGTGGAGTAATTAATGTGAATACCCTTAAACTTTTCATCGAAATAAGTTATGGGATGTCTTTCTTGAAAAAGAACAACCCCTATGTACATTGGAAGCATCATTCAATTCAAATGATTTAGTAAAGTTGGATAATGCTAAAAGGGGTGCAATGATAAGCTTTCTTTAAGATTTTGAAAAGTTTTTATTTATGATTGACTCACATGAACACTATATCCTTCTTTACTATATCCTTCTTTACTATATCATTCAAAGTTGCAACAATTATGTTAAAGTCTTTCACAAATATCTTATAGAAATTAGTCAAACTATGAAAACTCCTTACTTCACTCACATTTGTAGGAGTTAGTCAATATCTAATTGTTATTACTTTTTATTCATCCACACAAACTCCTTTGGAGTTTACAGCAAACCCTAGAAAAATTATATGATCAATCCCAAAGATGTATTTTTCTTTATTAACATATAATGTCTCTTTCATAAGGTTTTCAAGTACACTCCTAATATGATTCATATTACACTCCTAGGCTGTGTAGAAAAACTATCATAATTAACACTTGCAAGAAACGAATTAGAGACATATAATTCTTCCATGTACACCATTTTAACTTGTATATAATAGTTTAATACACTCCCAATTCAATTTTGTTTAGACAAATTTATAGATGAACATATATACTCTTGTGTATCTACCATCAGAGAACATGTACTTCACACATGATGTTGTTATGTCATTATAACTCGGTATGCATGACAGACATAAGACATGTGTGACATGTCATTTCATGTGCCCTTTAAAAATAATCAAAACTCATATGTGTGTAACATGTCTCTTTAATTTATTTATATCTCCCTCAAAATATTTTTAAAATGAGACATGTATTTATTATGTTATTCACATTCAGTTAAAGTGTCTTCTAGAAAACAGTAAACTTGAGATACATGCTTTTAATTTTCATATTCTTTTAGAAAACATAAAATAAAAAAATTAATATACATTACATGTTATATTTTTAAAATCATTCTAATTATTAATCTAATTCGCACTAAGTATGAGAAATAAAAAAAATAAGAACCAAGCCCCAACTCTAACCTATTGTCAACTAGTGAGCTACTCCAATTGACATTTTCCCGATCCTTAAAAATTGAGAGTGATAACAGATCAAAGGTGATATAGTAGAAACTTTTCGCCTCAACGGGTAAAGGTAGAGAGTAAATAACGCTCATAAGAACGAGAAATAACAAACCATTTTCGTTGATTTTGTTTAGAAAACCTTGACTGATTGAATCTTATCTAAGAAAATCTCAAACCAAATATTAATCTAATATTAATAATTGAGATTGATGTATATAAATAATAAATTTATATTTATATAACTAATATAATTTAACAAAATTTACTATGATCAAATTTTCTATAATAAAATATCTCCATATAAAATATAAAATAATAAAAATAATAATGAGAGTTTAAGTTGATAAATTTTATAATTATGTTAAATCTAAAATAAATATTTTTACACTAAATAATATAATTTAAGTTTAATGTAAAATATATGAAAAAAATAATTAAATCAAGTTAATTAATTCAAACTTAAAATCAATTAATCTGTTTTATTTGATTATCAACGGCAAACGGATTCAAATTGATTTGGTCGAATTTTTATAACTTTTAACATAAATAGTAAATTTGGTTATTTAAATTTTATGTGTGACATGTGATTTTCATGTGTCCTTTAAAAATATAAGACATTTGTATGACATGTCTTACATCCCTTGAAAGATTTGTAAAAGGAGACATGTAAGTATTATGTTATTCACGTATTTTAAAAAATATATTTTAATTTACATATTCTTTAAAAAAAATTAATATATATGACATATTATATTTTTAAAATTATTCTAATTATTAATCTAATATTAATAATTGAGATTAATATACATAAACAATAAATTTATATTATATATAACTAATATAATTTAACAAAATTTACTAAGTTTAAATTTTCTATAATAAAATATTTACATATAAAATATAAAATAATGAGAGTTTAAATTGATAAATTTTATAATTATCTTAAATCTAAAATAAATATTTTTAGAGTAAATAATATAATTTAAATTTAATGTAAAATATATGAAAAAATAATTATATCAAGTTAATTAATTCAAATTAAATCGATTATTATTTTTTATTTAATTATCAACTCAATGAATTCAAATTGACTTAATTAAATGTATATAACTTTTAATATATTTAACGTGTAATATGGTCAAATAGTAATTTTGTTATTTTAATTTTTTAAAATTTAAACAAATAGAGATAATTTTTTTGGGAGTAATTTTAATATCTCATTATATTTTTTATTTTTAGGGTTTATTCTTAAAATATAATTTTTTATAAAATATTATTAGTTTATATAAAATTAAATTACATTAAAAATTAAAATTATTCTTAAAAATTATTTATTTGTTTTTTAAAATATAATTAGGAGAAATGTACATTAAAAAAATTCAGAAGTTTAATATTATAAACTAAATTAATATTAACAAAATAAAAACAAATATGTGGGTCCGAACTTCTAGGTCTTGAACCATTTCCATCAAAAAGATTCTCCATTTTCAGCCTATCTTCCTGGCGTAAGTTGGAAGTGCGGATCCTAAATAGCTCCTTACTCCTCCCAGAAAACCCAAAACCCAAAAATGCAATCCCTGTCGCTCACCAAGAGGCTCTCCAATTCCAAGCTTCTCTTCAGAATCTCTTCCAACCTCGTCGCTCACGCATCCTCCGCCACCGCCTCTCCCCCCTCTCCACCGCCACCGTCGCCTTCGATCCCCGCCTCCTCTGCTCTCGCCAACCTTCTCACCGCTCCGTGGTCCACAACTCAGTCCCGCGGAATCGCTCTCTCTGGATCTGACGTAAGTTCCTCCGTTTTCTCACACCATTGCTTACTACATATTACGCTGCTGCGATATTTTCTTACATTATTCTCCGTCGTCGATTCTTTGTGATTGGACGCTTCGATGATGATTTTAGGGCTCGTCGTAACTGTTCATACATGTCTTGCAGGTTAGAGTTGGGAATCTCATCGGAAACCGAGGTTTAAATGTTTTCGCGTGCTGCTTTGTTGATTCGATTTGATGTGTGATTTTAGTTTCTAACGAATTCTCCTTTTTCATTTCCGCTGCGGTGGACGTGGATATTTTGTTTCCAGGACGCGCACACGAGGTAACTACGGAATGCTTTGGGAATTGGTTGTGAAGTGGTGTTCATTGAAGCTTATTGTCTAACTTAGCGTTTGGTTATGTTAATCATGTTAGGTTCTTAAACTCTATCGCTCCTGTGAAGGAACTGGCAAAACCCCACTTGAGGTTTATTCTAAGATTCTTTCTCTAGCATTCTTATACAGCTTCTTGAATTCTGATATTTTATTCAATTTTGTTAATTTTGAATATTCTGTATCTTTCTCGCATTGGAATTAGTCGGTCAGTGATTAATTCTTGATGTGTACTGTGCTGTACTTATGTTGTTTGCACATATGTATATATTCTACTACCTTACAGAAGGGAAAGGATTTAGAATGTTGTCAATCTAAGGAACTACTTCTGAAGGCCTTATTGTGAAGTAGAGGCCTCCATTGGTCATTATTTGTACAGAAAATATTCTTGGGAATTTTTCACATCTTCTTTCAGATATAACTTGACTTGTTGAAGCCAACTACTTGTCTCCAGTATCCACAATGTGGTGTGCTTGATATTGTACTACACCTCCTCTTTCTCTTGCAGGAAATTTTAAAAAACAAAATTCTATTGGTTCACTTATCATTTGTGAGAAAAAATGGGGAAGAAAAAGTTAGTTCTGATGCAGTACTATATTATAAAGATAATATCAGTCTTCTATAATTCTGTCATGTATTTGTTTTTATAAATACTTGGGGACTAACAAGTTATTTGTCATGATAGAAAAATTATGCACAACCCGAAAGACTTTTTTTATTTATTATTTAACGAATTTACTTGCTCAACTAAGGTTATCAAATTGAGAATTGTCAAGCTATTTTTTGAATCATAAATTGTAATTTTGTATCAAGTAGTAAGATTCAGTTATAGTGAAAAATTACTTCAAATATATCATATAGATGATATATAGTGTTTAATGTAACTGATTTAAACTAAAAATAGATAACTAAAAACATATAGTGTTTAACTTAACTGATTTAAACATCATTAAGTCTTTATTTTGGAAGAATGGAAGTGAAACAATTAAATAGTTATATAGAATACATGTATTGAATCAGTGGGTTACAAATAAAGGTGAGATTATTAAATAGGATAACTTCACAAGTATTCTTTGAAATTCCTTTTTGTTTAAAAATTTACGTGCTTATGACATTTTTAATATTTTTTCTTCATGATAGTAGGTGAAAAAGTAAAAACATATGACTGATTGGTACTTCGAGTTACATATATTTATTCATGTATCGCAAGTCATTCATGAGGAATTTGATTCAAATAGTAACTAGTGATTTTTCATGGCATATCGTAGATTTTCAGTACCTCCAAGGGTCATACTGTGTAATTTAATCAAGTAACATTTCATTCTAATAACCTGCACTAAGTATTGGAAATTGAATGGAATGAATTATATTTGGTACTGGTGATGCGAAATGCTCAAGTCTAGTTCATTTGTATGACCAATGACTGACAGGTTCCGACTCACACTGTAGCTGGTTATGCCACAGTTGCTACTACAGAGGATGATGTCAACAGGTTAGTTGTTGCATTTGATGATATAATTCATCACACGTTCAATCTCGATAAGCGTAATCCATTATTGCATTGATGAGCTTGATTATTGTATTGAGTCTTTCCCCAATGTTTAGGTGTCATGTACAGCTAGAAAACTTTAAAGTTAGATTGTACATCTAATCAATTCTGTCATTTATCTTATAGAAAAAATAAATATTTTTAGATGGGAAAGGGAAAACACAAAAGGAGGATAAGGTTCCTCCAAAGAAACCTAAAAGCTCTAGGAAAACAAAACATGACAAATTCTTAGGAATCCACTGCACAAACATGGTCTAAGGAGAAAACATAAAATTGAACCACTGAAAATGCTGCAAAGTTCTCCTGTGAAACTCCCTCCATGGAACACCTGTAACAAAAGGGATAAACTAATGCTAAAAAAGAACTCTATACAATACTCCCTTTCTTTGAACAAAGAACATAACTTAAAAAAGCTTGAGACAGCCTAATTAAGCCTGCTGTTTCCTTTACAGTTTATGCTCTCCACAATTTTCTTTTGCTAATCTTGTTTGCTGGTAAAATTGATTATGTTTAGGTGCTATGTGTAGCTAGAATTTTAAATTTTTGATTCTATGTCAAATCATTCCTTACATTTATATTAACAAGAAATATTGTCAAATAGGAAGGGAAAAATACGAAAAGCACATTTGATATCCTCCGTAGAAACCAATAAGGTATTGGGAACAACATGTGTGCCAAAACCATAACTTTACTAGGAAACTCCCTCCAGAAAACATCCGCAACAAATTGGATAAATTAATAGTAAAATTCAAAACAATATACTTTTGCTTTAAACAAAGATAACTTCTTTACCCAACAAATTAATTAAGTTTTTTCCTGTTGGATCAAAAAGTGATTGTGGATAAGCAATTCACTTGCAATGCATACTATTAGAAATTGCTTCCCCATCAATTCCATGCCCTTCACTTTGACCAAAAGGTTTCCTCCGTTCAACAACATATAGGCTAGGCAGAATTCCCTTTTCAGAGCCAGCATTATAGCGTGACCTCCTAGAGATTAATATTGACTGCCTAAACTTAAAAGTATTACTAACCTCAAAAGTTTGTTGTTGAAAAGGCTTCTTCACTTATACTAAGTTACCATCATAATCAAGAAAATCTTCCTGAACCTTTTGTTGATCAAAAGTTCAGGAAGGGTGTCATCACTTTGATAATTCTGGCGATCATCTTTGACCCATAGTTCATCCACAAGCGGACCTTCATCTTTGTAAAGAGGAATCAAATTATCTTCATGAAAAAATACCCACTTAACTCAATTCCTGCAAAGAAGATTCTTCTCCAACCTCTATAGTAACGTTTAAATGTTGAATAACTTGGGCACTCTTAACATTTTTTAATTTTTATCTAATCTAATCCATCTTCGAGTGTGGAGAAAAACTCTAGACACACCTGCAATCATTTCTCTGGGACGGACAATGCTTCTGCATTGATCTCTTTGGGAATTGTAATGATTTTCTGCGTTGTCCATGTAACTACTCAATATTGGAATTACCAACGTTAATCATTTCTCTGCATACTGATGGACAACTCCATCTTTTAAGTGTACCTGGCTGGTGAAATGTGAGCTCCACCTGAAGTGGTTGATTCTTCCATTTTACTGCATAGACTTGAAATGAAATTATTACTTGTTTTGTGCAAATTGGTTCTTGTTCTATTGAGGACAATGTAAACTTACACCGTATGATTGCGCTTTCCATATGATGTAGAATAAAAATGAAACTAAATGTTTACCAAAATATTTTAACATCTTCATTGCAGACTTTTTATGTATTATTTTTTTATGTATATTGGGGATTGGCAATGAACTGATTACTATGGTCAGTGCTATTGATTCTGGTGGTCATATCGTTGATTATTGGAAAATATTCTTTGATTTTTATGTGTTACTTTGAACAATATTATGTATCTTGATGTTGCCCAAAGTTGTGTTACATTCTCATTTCAGGGACAGACTTAGCTTGTGTTAAGCTCGAATTTGAGTTGATAACTGTTTGATACAAACATCCAATATAAAGATAGTTTTGCATCTGATGTGTGTTTTCTACTCCCATTTCTTGACAACAAGTCTGTTTCAATTTTTTCATTGGTTGATTTTCTTAAATTCATGGGCTATTAGTTTCAAAACTTTGGGGGTAGGTAGTTAATAAATATATAAATGCATTAGTAGTTGTGCTATTCCTAATTGTTGGTTTAGTCTGTGCAAGGTTTAAAGGGCGTTAGATTGGTATTAATGCTTGAATCATTGTTTGATAATGAATGAAACATTAAAAAGGTTTAAAGGGCATTAGATTGGTATTAATGCTTGAATCATTGTTTAATGAATGAAACATTAAAACACTTATGACATCCATTAGTTTCCCTTTTTTATTAAAAGATGGTATCTTGTACATATGGTTTGGTTAATTCCCATTTCCCTGCATCTATTGGTTGCCATGTATAGGAAGGAGCGAAACAGTGGATTAGGGAAAGGAGCAAAGACAAAGAGAGAGCAGCTCCTTAAAGCTACTGCAGTTGCCCCTCTTCTTTTGTTATACCCAAATGCCTATTCATTGCTCTTGGCAAATTTCTTTGTGTTCTGGCACATAAATGCGGGGATAGAAGAGATTTTGGCAGATTATGTTCACCATGAAATGACCAGAGAATTTGTCATGATTTCTCTCAGGTTGTTCTTGATAATTGCAATGAAGGATGTTTTCTTAAACTTTATATTTGTATAAGAAACGCATCGGTTGTGCTGAAATTGCTTTCAAATAAGAGCTCATTGAGGGGCAAACTTGACCAAACTGTAATTTGTAGTCTTTTTATGTTTTCCCCCCAAACTTACGAGGCAAGGCAACATGATGAGTTCGATTTATCAAGATAATGGATGATTTTTAGCGTATCTTGGATATATTTTCTGCTGTTAATTAGTATTTATTCTAGTTAGTATTATACAACAGTTATAGTGTTGGGTAAGAATTTTAATATATTTTTTGTTCGTTACAACTTTTTGAATAGTAAAAAATTAGTATGCATATTTGTATTGTTACTTGTATGACAGATTTTTTTAATTTTTGTGTTTTTTAACGTTTTCTAATCGTTGGGCAATTTTTGATACATTTTATGGATTTATACACAGTTTGATTTAGGTTCGATGAATGTCAACAATACATATTTTGATAATTCTTTATTCTATTTCTTTCTTTTGTTAGATGATTTTTCATTTTTAATTTTGTTAAATAATTTAGGTACAGTATCAATTATTGTAATCATGTGACTTTTTTATGATAATCACGCGACTTTTACTCGTAGTGACAAAACGGAGAAATTAGATGTTCCACTCCATTTCTAATACTTCATTGTAGCCTTTTCTTTTTTTTCAATCCTTTGTTTATTTTAGAATTTTGAATATGTAATTATTCATTTTTTTCAACTATACCCTATCAATCAATAAAGTAATTAAGATTATTTCTTTGTAGAGTGTTAATAATATTGATTTTTACTAGTTAATATTGTAGAACATTATTACTATTTTTATAGAATTTTCATCGAAAATGAAAACTCTCATCCGAGAACCGATAAAGAGTAGCTTAGTTATTGAGTGTGGTGGAATAGTTGGTGTAAATCTTTTTGAGATGTGTTCAATTTATTTGGATGAGAAAATAGGACTGATAAAGATAATTCTTAGAAAATTGTAAATAATACATGGGAGTATTTTAATCAAAATTTATGTAAATTAATCTTTTTTTATGTTTATCTTCCTATGTTTTTTATTTTCTTAATATTTCTTATGAAACCCTTGCACAGACGTTAGTTTACAAGCACAAATTACAAAACTTGCACAACGCCGGCAACAAATTTGTAACATGCTACTTTCTCACCTGAGGATAACAGAAGAGCATATTTGAAAATAATTTGTTAAATAATAATAATTAAAAAAAATAATTTTTAATCAATTAAAAATTACATATTATAAATGATGTTTAACTAGAATCTATTTGCAATATGATTTCTTTTTTCATTTTAAATTATTGTGACAAGATTCAATGGTGAGTTATATTATTACTTAAAAAAGACTTATCAGAGAACGACTAGTAAAAACTGAAATTGATGTTTGATTCTGTTTGTCCAGAAACTCGAAAATCGGACTTTTCTTCAATATATCTAGGGCGTCTTCACTTATAAAAATTTTATGAATTTTTTGATACATAACAAAGTTATTTTTTGTAACTACAGCAGAGTTAAGAAATTTCATCAAATTCTAGTTTAATTAAAGATTTATGATTAAAATGGTGGATCAGAAGGGGTTTATACCAAATCATCAAACACAAGGTCATTTTATATTAAACAGGTAAAATTTAAGGATGGCAGTTGAGCTTGAATTCACGAGTATTCATACAAATTATTTTATGAATGAAATTTGTTTATGTCAAATGATGTTTAACTTCTTAAATTGAATTAGATATTTAAACTTTTAATTGATACTTTTTACTTTTATAATTAATTCAATTTTAATACATTTTGGTTTTGCTAGTAAAAAGAAAATGAATTTAAGGGTTATCAGCTGTCTATGTAAAATTAGTTTATACATACATTATTGAATCACACTTCACAGATAATATAATTTTTTAAATAATCAAAATAAAAATCATATTTATTTGATTACCACAAATAAAATATTTTACAATAATTAAATAAAAGATATAATGATAATTTTAAATTTAGCGTTATATTATATATTAAAAAATTACTATAATTAAATAATAGATATAATGATAATTTTAAATTTAGCGTTATATTGTATATTAAGAAATTACCATAGTTTTGATTCGTTATTATATTTTATTGATAATTATTTTTATATAATTTTTTTTGCGGTAATAAATCTAAAAGTTTTTAATATTCTTTTATTATTATATTTTTGATATATCATCAATCTCAATTAAAATTTAAATATTTTCCATCTTTGATTTGTTTAGTATAAGTTTCTCTAATAATCATCATCTTATTGCTAAAATCTTATTTTATATAGTTATTTTCTCTCATAAAGACATTAAACATTTAGTGACATTTAGGAAGGTGAAAAAGAGGAAGAGAAAAAGGAAGAGAAGAAGGAGAAGGTGTATAAATGTAATATTTTACTGTGGATCTCCCTTGCAACGATGTCAAGCATATTAGAGGTATTTGCAACAGAAAGTCACTTCACATAGGAGAGAAAGATGAAGAAGAGGAGAAGAAGAGTTAATCATGATGGAGAAAAGGAGAAAAAGAAATGTAACAGACGAGAAAAGAAGGTAAAGAGAGGATAAAACAACAGTACACATGACACTAAATTTTTCTTTGAATTAGGAAATGAAATTGTGAGAGTGAAAAAAAGAGAAAGAGGGTGAAGAATTTTTGTTGTGGAAATTAAAGGAAAGAGAATAAAAAATAAAAAAAATAGAGTAAAAATATTGTAGAAAATAAAAGTGATTTGATTGATTAAAAAATTAAAAAATAATATAAAGTGATAAATGACCAAAATTATCATTATGATTAATTTTAATTAAAATAAATATAAATTGAAATAGATGTAATTTAATATAAAATAATTACTTAAAAATTAAATAAAAAATTTAAAAAATAAAATTATTTTATATAAATTTTAAAAATAATTGGTGATATTTTATACAAATATTTAAATTATTTTTTATATTTTACAATAATTTATAAGTAATATTAAAATTGTAGAAATTTGTAAAAAGAAAAATACTCATTTAAATCACTTGTATAATATTTGATTAAAATAAATATTTTATTAGAATTGGTTAATCAATTTTTTGATAACGTAATATATTATAGATTGGGAAAGGGTAGTTATGGAAAATTTAAAAACATATTTTCCTCTCAAATCTTCTTAAACTAACAAGAAAGATAATAGTGTATATTTTTTATTTATTCTTTTTTTCAAATCCACACGTCTATGTTAAAACAGATTAATCCTCACCTTCCGTTCCTAAAGTACAATAGATAATGTTTTAAAGACAAAAGCTAAGAAGAAATAAATAGAATAAACAAGTGGATAAATATAATGAAACATATAACGATTATAAATAAATGTTTTACTTTAGTATATGTGGATCTTCATGTTGTTCTATTTTGCTTGCTTAGTTACGATAATTCATTTTTATCATAGGTGCTAGTGAAACCTAGTCTGAATTTTATTCAATTTGATTTTAGTTCCGTGAGTTTGAAAATTTTCCTTACATTCATTGAAATTAAGAAAGGTTAATTTAATGATTGAATTATCTGTATCTATTAAAAAAATTGGATTGATTGTCAACCTTCCATATGGTGGGATTGGATTGTTCAATTTGATTAGAGTTTATTTAGAATAACCAATGTTATTACGAGATAAAATATAATTAATCATTTAGAAGATAAGAAATTACTGAAAAGTGATCAGAGTTTGTTATTCACCTATGAAGTAAAACACTGATCACAAGCACCAACACATCAATAAGGATGATTTCTAATTTCTAATCAGTTATGGAGTTTGTTGACAAAATTGGTTGTACATCTATGAAAACTGTCCAATGTTTAAATTAGATTAAAATAAGGTGAGAATAATATGAAAAAAAAAACTAAAGAATAAAATAATTTTATTTATAAAATTCTTATAAGGTTTATATCCCTTTAATTATTATAAGTGTTTTTAACATTCTCACCATTTATTAATAGAATTTTAGAAACAAAATATCATTAATTAATACATTATTATAATAATTTGTTTTTCAAAATTTGTGCCTAAATATATATAAATACACTTATTTGAATTAATTGATAACATTATTTATTCATCTCAATGTTCTTCTTATATTTTCCTTGTATCGTTTACCTTATCTTCTAGTTTTTTTTTTGTTATTACTATAGGTATGTCTAGTTTCTTTGTTCCAATCTTTTCATTATCATGCCTTCTTTTGATTTTGGTTTCTCTAGTAACTAATGATCCCCTTTATGTTGAACCATTGATGAGTGGACATGAAGACACATTGTTAATGATTTAAACATTGCTAAAATTCACAATAAAAATATATCCTCCTAGTAAGGATTAATGAGACAGGACAACGAGCTTACATAAACTCATCTTTATAAAAATATCCACATAGCAAGAGCTAGTGTGAAAGAGTAATGATCTATAACATTTACTAACTATCTATCAAACTACAATATTTTTTTAAAGCATCAATATTTATGCAACATTGAGCCTCCTCGACCATCTTGACTTTTTCAACAAAGGATTTCTCTCAAACTTGACCTAGTTATCGAGAAAACTAACATTTTAAAATGTCGCTAAAATACTAGCATTTCAAATGCATTGTCAGCATTATAGTATATCGTTAACAAATCAGAATATGGTATTAACAAAACATGCATCTTTGAACAATAGTATGTCATAATAATTGATGTCCTAACATGTTAATTAAAAATTTATATCTCAAAATGTGACTCGTATCCTAACATGTATGTATACTTGTCATTTACATAAGAAGAAAGTAAAGTTGTCACAAACAACAACTTGATATTACTAAATCAAATACATACTTGTATGTATTAAACTTCTGTTAGACAACTCTTTGTTAGTTATGTTATCAATCAACAATACTTTTTTAGCAAATAAAGTAAATTTACATAAATTGTTACAAATATAGATAATTAATTAATTACACGATTTTATATCAAAGGATTATATATATATATATATATATATATATATATATATATAGAGAGAGAGAGAGAGAGAGAGAGGACTTATCACATGAGTCTAAGTCACTTTCTTCTTGTAACCATCCTCATAAACTTTAAGAAGTAACTTCTTTAATTCGAATGACTTTGAGGGTTTTCTTGCTCTCCTCAACATGTATCTTTTCCCATTAGCTTGACACCACAGCGACATTGTAGGTTGTTGTTCTTCACCTTGACCATAACCCTAAATCAAGTACACTTTGGTAATAATTTTAAATTGATCTCACATGGATCTTGAGGTGACCTTATAAATTGATATCTTAAATAAGTCATTATTAAAAAAAAAACAATTGCCAAAAAAATATTAAATCGTTGAAATCAATTTAATCACACTTGCAATAGAAAAAAAAATAACTCCACATTCGACTTACAAAAATAAGATTTGGGAGGCTTATGTTCTTGAATTGTGTACTATATATGTGTCATAAAATTAGAAAGAATTCTTAAAATTAATACTATTAATTTAACAAATATTCAGTATCAATGTATAAATCAAAATAAACATGATTGTTAGTAATAAATGAGAAAATCAACTCACATCCCATTAATGAGTGTAATTGGATCTTAAAATAATGATATATATTACCTATAATAACTTAGTAAGAGTCTTGTAAATAGGACAATCTCATTCTCTAAACACTCACTCTCACTCTCTTATTTACTTGATGATCAAAGAGTCATATCTCATCATTTTGGAATTTGTTCCTCAATGTTATTTACAACTTGAACAATACTCGTTGTCACACATAATGGGTCTAATAAAACTTATCTCATACCACATTGTTAATAGTTCAAGCATGTAACCAAGCTAATTCATCAAATGTTGAAATGGATGCGAACATGATCATTAGAAGTCTGAAATCCCATATAAAGGTCATAAAATAGAAAAAGTTTTATAGCAACATTGCAAAACAACAAAATCAAGAAGAACTGAAGTGAATAAAAGGGAAGCTTCAAGAGGAGATGGAGGCCTTAAGCTACATAATAAAGAATTGGAAAAGCAACTATGTGCTCTAGCAAGACAACAATCTCCTTCTAGATACCAATTTCTCTTAAGATACCAATCTTCAATTCACAAAGACAAGGCTGAAACAAATCCTCAACCCATAATGATCAAGCTGACCACAATACAAAAGTCAAATCTCATGCTTAAAGTGCGATTCTACAACATGGGTTAGGTCGAGTCGTTAACAAAAATAAGCATGCTCCTACTACAAAGCAGACACAATCCCTTAACACCCAAGGATAATCCAAACTAAAACTTGGAAGTCCTTTTACTCCTAATATCTTGGAGGAACCATTGCCTTCAGGATGGACTTAATATGAAAAAATTTGGATGAGTCATGGATCCAAATGAACATATCCAAACACATATGACACAACTCAACTTTTATGAAAAAAAGAATAAGTTGAAGTTATGCTTAGACTTTGAAAGTAAAATGAAGTTCTTGGAGAGGTTGATTGAAGTAGTGTCACAAAATGAAGAAATATTTCAATCAAAGCTTGAATAATCTTGAAATTGGTATTTGATGCATAACATTTGAGAAAAATTCAGTTATTGATACATACTCAACTTTTACCATTGAAAGAGTAATGATATTTTGTTTCTTACTTGCCCAAGAGATAAAACATGAGTTAATAAAATGACATTCACCAGTAGTATTTTTTTTTTTTTCATTTTAGAGTTGTTGTAACCTATGCAACATAGATGAAGAATGAAAATGAGAGTGAAAGAATTTCTCTAACAAGATCGAGAAATACAAAATGATTAGAATTTCATGATGAGATAGAATGGATGGGGAAGCATTCCCAAGACTTTTGAATGCTTTAAATCTATATTTTTACTTAAGTCCTGTTTAATTAAATAAATTATTATTTCATTCTTTGATTAAATAACTATAACTTTTGTTCTTTCAGAGTTTTTTCTTCCCACCCATTATTTTTATTTCAAAGGTTAATGAAGACAATGAATTTGAATAATTATACAATTCTTGATTGTTCATCTTGACACTAAAGTCAACTCGTGATCCTATATAATACATTTTATGGTCATCTTTAACTTAACTCATGATCCTATGTGATCTATTACACGATTGTCTTTGACCCAACTTGCTATCCTATATAATCCATTACATGGTCGTTTTTACCTAATTTGTGATCCTATACGATCCATTGCGTGGTCATCTTTGACCTGACTCCTGATCCTATGTGATCCATTGCATGGTCTTCTTTAACACAACTCATGATCTTATGTGATCCACTACTTGGTTGTTACTAACCCAATTTGTGATTCCACAAGTATACCATTATAAAAACCTAAGTCACACAAATTTGATCAACATGCAAGTTATGATTGGATACAAGATTTTTGTATAACTCAATTATAATATTTTTTATCATGTCAATTTGGATTGACTTAATTTGGTCACTTGTATAAAGGTATCATAAACAATGAGTTGTGAGGTATTAAGAGTTCAAGAAAAATAATAAATTAATAAAGACATTCAAAAACATTCAAAGTATATGATAATCGAAATAAACTATTGTTCAAAATATAAAAATTGCAAGAAACTTAAAAATTGCTCAATGACACTTATTGTTGACATTTTCCGCCCAAAAAACAAAGTATCAATTAGTTTTTCATAAGTAGTGTTTTCAAAGCCAATCTACAAGGTTGAATCTAATTACATTTTGGACTAAAATGTTAAGCCTCAATGTTTTAATCTCAAAACAAAAGGGCTATATAGCATCAGAAGTTGGTGTTCGACCCATTATGATAAGAGCCACTGATATTTAGATGATATTTGGACAAACGTTTAAGTCTCAGTGTCTTTGTCTCGAGGTTGAACAGTTGTGTTGTGTCTAAATGAACTCGAACCTTTATTGACCTAGGGGTCATATTGATTTGATATATAAAAACCATGAGACCAAAAATAGTTTATTTTTTATATCATATCACCCTAAAAATCCGCCTACAATTAGGGATTATTACAATAGATTTCGCGATGCAAAAATCAAGTCGGTAAAGGCGAATGACATTAGACTATTAAGGCTTAAGCCCACAAGGACTAGGTAGGGAACACATTAGCTCAATAAAATGAATTTCTAGAGTTGAGATGAGTAAGTTTTTTACTTCTTTGATACTGGCCCAGGTTTCAAAAACTTTTCGCTAGAACATAATCCTACTTCATAGTAAAATTCTTATACTAACTTGGTCTCGTAGTTTTTCCTTTTCACATTAAAAATATTATATATTATAATTTTATTTTTTTTAGTATTATGTTCTCGTTACTTATTTTAAGTTACATAGATAAAAGAAAATCTTTTTACTTTCACATAATTTATTTTGTTTATCAACACTAGTTTAATACATTTCTTTACTTATAAATAGTGGGTCACTTTGTATTTTATAAACATGTGCAAAAAGTGCATACATACCTAATAAAATGTGACACTTTATATATAAACTTGTACAGGGTTGTTAGTTTTTGTGAGTGATTTTTTGTCAATCCACTGATGTAAAAAAGATTTTATGACGATTCAATTTTGAGTTGATATTAAAAATTATTTATTATTTTAGTTTAGAACTGAATCATTATAATAAGTACTTTTACATTAAACCGCCATATAAAACTAAATTTTAATTACAAAATTATTATCACTCAACTTATTATTCAACTTATTACAATGGATGATTAAAATCATAATAATAAAATAACATAAAATATTTTTTTTCTAATAATCACTCCATGACTAAAATCATAATTAAACTTAATTTTATAATATATATATATATATATATATATATATATATATATATATATGTGTGTTAGACAAATGACATCTAGAGGGAGGTGAATAGATGCACAAATTAAAATAGATGTCAAATTAAAAATTTATTTGTGAGTCAATAATTTGTTAAAGCGGAAGCAATAATATAATCAGGAAAGGAGAAAGAGATAAGGGAAAGAGAAGAGCACACAGAGATTTATACTGGTTCGGGTATAGCCAACCCTACATCCAGTTCCTAGTCAACTCTTAATACAAGAGTGACCCCCCCTTCACTATCTTTCAAATTCAGTTTACAATTTACAATCAACTCAGCAGAAGAACCAGTAAAAAGTAAAATAATTAAAAAGACAATCGCCTCCTTAGAAACTTACTAAGGATGAACATCTCTCTAGAATGCCACTAGGGATGAACACCTCCTTTGAACAAATCAAAGGATGAAAAACACATCCTTAGAATCCCACTAAGGATGAACACCTCCCTAGAATCACACTAGGGATGAAAGCCTCCTTTGAACAAATCAAAGGATGAAGGTAATAAAAATAAGAACAGACACACCTGGGTAATAGAGACAACAAATTGTAGAAGTCTATAGAATGTCAATCTCCAAGAACAAGTGTGATTAACAATGAAAGCACAGAAGGCAGTAGAGAAGAAGGTTTTCTCAAAAGGTGTAAAATATCTCTGTTGTCTTGCTCAGAATTCTTTTCTCAAAACTGATTGAATGTAAATTGTATTTTCGAATTCTGTAATTGTGTCTTTTTTATTTTTCATCAAAACTTAATTAAATAGAAAAATAGCATCAGAAAATGGCCGTTGGACATTAATAATATCATAGAGAAAATCGGGATGTATTCAAAAACATTTATTCTTTAAAACGGATATATTTTTTAAATTTGAATTTTCATAATTGATTATATTACCAGTATAATTAATTATGATAGAGAAAATCATTTTTCCATTTCTGGTGCATCATAATTAATTATGACAGTGAAAAATATCATGTTATGAATTTTATCACACTTGTGCTTTGGAGGCTTATGCATAATATTACTTCATCAACTTGTACCTCCATATCCAGTATTCTAAGACTCTATCTAGTCTTCAGGAATCATCTTGGGCTTGCTTGAATCATCATCTTTATCAAAAACATATATTGGGCATGTAGGGAAATGTTTCACACTGTCACCTACGTCATAAATTCAGCTTGTCCTTAAATTCATCTTGAATGGTGTTGACTTGAATGTAGTTGACTAGAATCATCATCAAAATCATCTCTTGGAAATGTAGGAACATTTCCATCAATCTCCCCCTCATTGCTTTCAATCTCCCCCTTTTTGATGATGATCAAGGAAACACTTGAAATGAATTAAAATGCTTGACTCTATATAGCCAGCTCAAGATTAACATAGATTTGTATCAAGTGTCAGAGTCTCTTAATCTCCGCTTGGATATATTAATAACAAGACTCCCCCTAACTCATATGAGCAAATACTTCTCTTAACTCCCGTTGTTTAATTTAGATAGGAAAGAATTTCACACAGATTTTAATTCATCAAAAAATCTCCCCCTGTTTCATTGATAATCATAAAAAATATTACAAGAGAAAAAAATCTCCCCCTGTTTCACACAGATTAATATCATCAAAATATCTCTCTGTTTCATTGATAATTATGAAAAATATTATAAGGGAAAAAAATCTCCCCCGGTTTCACACAGATTAATATCATCAAAATATCTTCCTGTTTCATTGATAATTATGAAAAATATTATAAGAGAAAAATATCTCTCCTTGTTTCACACAGATTAATATCATCAAAATATCTCAATGTTTAATTGATAATTATGAAAAATATTGCAATAGAAACTGAGAACAAATTTGTACATATTAGTACATAAATCAAGGTAGGGAAGATAATGCATTACAAAGTGTCATAGAGAAGAATATCATATTAAGGAGACAATATCTAGGATACCCAAGACAAATGAAGAGAGAGAAAGATAGGGGAATAAAATGATTATAGAGATAATCGAATGAAATGCAGTAGTTTCCCTCAATTCCAGTCTTCTTATTAAGGCAGCTTTCAAATTCAAATGCACTCATATTCCAGATTTCAAATTTCAAATTCAAATTGCAATAAATTTCAAATTTCAAATTCAAATTCCAACAAATTCCAAATTTCAAACTCAAATTTCTAATCCCAAATTTCAAATTCCAATTCCAATTCAATTTCAAAAATCTCAAACTGCAAAATTTTCAACTTTCAAAATCTCAAACTACAAAATTTCAAATTTCAAAAATCTCAAATTGCAAAATTTCAAATTTCAAAAATCTAAAAAAATCTCAAACTGCAAAATCCCAAATTTCAAAAATCTCAATTGCAAAATTTCAAATTTCAAAAATCTTAAATTGCAAAATTTCAAATTTCAAAAATCTCAAATTGCAAAATTTCAAATTTCAAGAATCTCAAACTGCAAAATTTCAAACTTTAATAATTTCAATTTTCATAAATTCAAACTTTCAACATAATTGATTATGACAACAAGAAAAAAAATTTCTAATTCTGATAATCAATTAGATGCTCAAACTATCATCTAGACATGTATGAATGTTTTAGTCCTTTAGGCACCCATTCATATTTGCCATTAGATATGCCAAAATGTTTTATGTAAAATTTATTTGATGTATGACCTATTTTCATGCAATAAAAACATGTTGGTTTTCTTTGAAAAGGTCTAAATGCGTTTTTTAAAGTTTTTGAAACTGGTTTCACATCTGTTTTCCTTGACTCTTTCACAAAAATAGTTTTATGAGGTTCTAGACTTTCTTTGGGTTTGTAACCAAATCCAGCTTTGTTAGAATTTCTTCTTTGATAACCTAATATCGAATCAAGATTTTCAGAAGATTTTGAAAAATTGTTTATTATTTTCTCTAACTTGAAAATCTCATTTTCTAAAAGATTACAATTTTCACAAGGTTTAACAACTTCTTTATTTTTAGACAAAGTTTTAGATTTCTCAACATCTTTCTTTAAGCACTCATTTTCTTTTTCAAGAATATCAACAGTATTTTCTAATGTATTAAACTTTTGCCTAAGTGCATTGTATTTCTTAGATAACTTGGTAAAGCCTTCATACATATCTTGATATTCTTTAAATAACTCATCATATTCATTTAAGGAATTTGTACTACTTACCTGTGATGAGGCTTCATCATCACTTTTTGTCATCAAGCAAAGATTTGCTTCTTCTTCTCCATCACTGCTTTCGGAAGAACTCTCTTGTGTTGTGGAAGAAGCATGATCCTCCCAAGCAATATAAGTTTTGCGTTTTCTCTTATAGGTATCGTTCTTCTCTTTCTTCTCTTTCACATCTTTCTTCTCT